CAGTGTGGCTTGGATATTTTCCTTTCTTCTGATCTCGATGTGAAGGAGGGTTGGGAATCTGTCCTGCAGACCTACCCAGAGTGAATGGCCAGACAGATGGATGGGGATGGTGTGTTGCCAGTTCGTTTTCTACCATGGGGTTTCAGAAAGTGATGGGCTGATGGTTTTTGTGCCTCAGGGGGGCAATTTCCCTGGCAGCATCCAAGTTGTGTCACCTCTCTGCTTGGCTCTGTGACGACAGTGTTGATTTGAATTCTTCCAACTTAAGGCTGATTTAAATGATGGTGAAGCTGGGGGGGTGGCATGTGGGAGTAGAGCACTGAGCGCTATTCTTTTTCGGTTGTCATATGCCTCCATAAAGACTTCTGCCTTGGGGATTTGCATAGATCCACGGTCCAGATTGCGCTGCAAAGCCCACCAGTGGTCGGCAGAGCTATGGCAACGGCTCCTGAGTCGTGCAAAAAGTTGAAGGGTGTTTGTGAGTCTCGTGCCGTGGCCATTTCTCTCACCTGGGGGGGCAACAGGAGCCCGCTTCCCACTTGTGACCCATAGCACTCCCCGCTCTGCAGCCCCTGAGGGAAGCATGGTGTTCAAAAGCACTTTCTCTCTCTTTCAATTTGGCTTCATGAAATATCAGTGTTTGAGTGATAACCTCATGGAGAGGAGGCTGCAGAGCTGCCCTCCTACCAGCAAAACCGCAGGAGGCAGAAGGGGGAGAGCTTGCAAACGTCCCAGCCACGAGCAAAGCTTAATTTGGCAGTTGTAATCGCTGAGGACACGCACATCTGTAGGAAAGCAGGCTCCCTTCCTCGCAGTGTTCCCAGAAGGGCTTGTTTGTTTAATTTTATCTTGCAGAGAAAATTATAGAAGGGAAAAAAAATCTCACCAGAAATTCACAACCAACCACTCTGTGGTTTTGCTCAGCTGCAGCACCAAATGCTTCAGCACAGCATGGAGAGCGGCGGGGAGTGCAGCCCTCACCCAACGCAGGTATTTGTGTTGGGGAATTGGGCACCTGGTGTGGCAGCAGCACAGGATGTCCTCAGTGCTGGACGTACACAGTGCTAGATGTCCCTGCTCCTGCTGGCACATGCTGCCCTCCCACATGGTACTGGGTGAGAAGAGCTGCCCATGGCCATCCCCAAAGCTGCTAAAGTCTGGGCATCATGCTCATCACTCTGCTTAGAAGGCATTGTGGACAGCAAGCAGCTGTCCTGTGCCACCCCACTGTGAGCCAGAGCCCCATACCTGGAGCATTGCATCCATAAAAAAAGGACATCTTCACCCTGCATCAGCTTTTGGGAAGATGGGGTTCACCAAGCAGTCCGTCACAGCAGCTCATCCTGATGTGTAGCAAAAGTGAGCTTTGTGGTGGAACAGAAGTGGGTCATGACTCATGTGGGGGTGAAACACTGGGGCTTTTTGAATGGTTGGTGCTTTGCAGGGCAAAACCCCACCACAGGCATGGCTGGGCAGTGGTGGTGTAGCTGGGTGATGTGGGAATGCCTGCGCTCTGGTTTCAACTCATTTTCTTTGTTGTCATTAGCTGTCATTAGCTTGAATTTCCAAGGGAGCCTGTGCTTGACATCAGATGATGACATCCTTTAATTTAGCAAATGCAAAAATGGGACCTTTTCCAACCAGAGCAATTAGAAAAGTCCTGCTCCGCTCCCATCCGCGCTGCAGGATGCCGGCCAGGCATCTCCCCAATCCCCTTCTGCAGCAGAGACCGCCCACAATCATCACACCGCTGTGCCCCCCCTTCTCACCATCCCCACTCACTCTTCCAGTGAGCCAGCAAACCACACCAGAAAGGGCTGGATGCAGGGCAGGACCTCACATGGGGGCAAAGGGGCTGTACCCCCCTCTGCCACCTGCCAGCACTGCTGCAATCCCGTCCCTGCACGGATGCCCCTTTGCCCTGCCAAGGCCCTTCTCCACCTCCAGGTTTGCGTCTAACGGCGCGTGTCCCCCCTAAGCTGCTTAATGAGGGTTAAGAGGCTAACAGGCTTATTACCAGCAATTATTTCCATAGCCCTGCAGGTGTCCCTGAAAATGGCAGAGCCTGTGGCTGGGAGCAACCCGCAGGCATCGCCGCCAGCCTGTCGCGATGCTGAGCTTTTTTGTCCTTTTTTTTCACCAAAATCCAGGCTATATCTTTGGTTGGAGGGCAGAATTGGGGGGGGGTGCATCCCTATAGAAAGCTCCCCCACCCCGTTCCTTTAACTGTGCTTTGAGAGCAGCTCTGCAGCATCCCTGTGCCGGCAGTCGCCTGGAGACGGCCGCGGTGGGTTGCCACAGCGACGGAGCAGCGCTCAGCATCCTCCCTGCTCCGCTGCTGGGCCCAAGTTGGGTGAGGATCAGATACCCCAGGGAAGGGTACCTTGACAGCAGCAGGAAACTGAGGCATGGCTGGTGGTGGTGGTGGAGGTGAAGGAGGAGGTTTTAGAATATGTCACTGTCTGTGAAGGGGCAAAAAATAGTGGCAGTGGGGCTGGTATGGGTGCGTGGAGTTGCTGGGGGGGAGTATCAGTGTTCAGAGGGGGCTGATGCTGGTGCATCATCTCAGCACAAAGGTCACCCAGCTCCCAGCCAAAGTCTGGGCTCCCCACCCCACTGTCCCCAGCTGGCTGCAATGCCACGAACGGCCCACTGGAGTTGGAGACCAGCAAGGTCACGGTGATGGCAAAGGTTGATATGCCCCCCCCAAGCTCTGGAGATGTCCTGCAGTAAAGGAGAGGAAGGTGAAGACCTTTTGGGTGGTGGTCCTGATGCCTTCTCCAGCACTGCCACAGAGGTCCCCCCAACCAAGGGAGCCTATAATTATAAATGACAGCAGAGGAGGGCAAGAGGAGGTTATGTAACTTTGGCATTTGGAAAATTCTTTCTGCTCCCTTATCGGCTTTATAAATACCTCCAACTTGGCCCTGCCAGGCTGGGGGAAGGCGGTGGCATGGCCTGGTCCCTGTGCCATGCCCATCCAGCCCCTGTGCCTCAGTTTCCCTCTCCCTATGGACAGACACATCCCTGCTGCCGTGCTAGCAGAGGGCTCCTTGCTGCCAATGTGAATGCTGGGGGATTGATGCTTTTCAACCCCAGCAGCAAAGGAAGGTGGATTTTCTTCCACCCCTGGGAAAAGCATGAAGATGTTCTTTGAGTAATGCCCATCATTGAGCTGTGGGTTCACAGAACCGTTTTCCTCCTGCCACCACTGACTCTTCCCACCTCTGCATCCTTCAGGCAGATCCTTCACCTCCCCACTCCTGGGCCGTGCTTGTGTCTGCCGAATGCTGGGTGTGACCATCCCCGTCCTCCTCCCCCAGACCCACTGACACAGCCCACCCTGCTCAGCCCCAAGCATCGCCGCTGCCCCGTGGAGGTCGGGAGCCCTCTGCTCGTGGGCGTTTTGCATTTACGCCAATGCACAGTTACCTCCCCGCGGGTGATGGAGGGCAGCTGGGGCCACATCAATATGCTGTTGTATAACTGCGTGGCTGCTCGCCGGGGGCTTGTCCCTGCATCCCACCCACCACGATGCCACCAGGCCGGCTGCTGCCCCAGCTGCAGGGCACCCACTGCATGACATCTTCAAAAGATGGGCACAGCCAGGACCTTGGGGGTTAGGTAGGCTGTTTTGATATGTCATTGCTTTCGTTCCTAAAATCTTCCCGTTTTGATTTCACTTGCTGGGGGAGCGATACCCTGCACCTTGCAGAGCCACGTGTGCGTGAAGAGTAGTGCACAGTCTCACCAACATCAAACTTTGCCTTTGTTTATTGTAAGGATGCTGTTTTTTGTAGGATTGTCTGGAAGAAAAAAAGTACTCTGGCTTTCTGCTTATGTGATTGTGCTTATGTGAATGTGCTGATGTGATCGTGCTGATGTGATCGTGCAGTGTGAGTGCCACCCAAATGGTGACCTGGGCTTGCGTGCTTCCAGTATGGCAGATGCTGACATTGGGCAGAGCTTTGACGTCGTGCTGCCGAGGCCACCAGGCTGGTACCCATGGGCAGGGAATGAGGGGGATTAATGCAGCTGCTGATCCCTGATGGCTCAGAGGCCGGGGAGCAGTGAGCCTCTCCAGCGTTATGCAACTCTTGCATTAAATCTTCCTCGCATCGGATGAAGATGCTCTGTTGTGCCCCAAATACTGTGCCTTGCCTGGGTATTGGGGTATGGGGTCCTTCCTGCAGTTTGGGGGTGTCCAGCAATGGAAAAGGCAAAAAAGTGGCCCTGCTCAGTATTGCACCCTGCCCAGGTCCATGGGAAGGAGAGCTCCTCTGATGGGAAGAGCACTATAAGGGGAACCCTCTGAGGATGTGAAGGAGACTGAGCAGGGGGAAAGACGGGAGTAGCCAAACTGTGCAAAGGCCTCTTTCATCTTGAAGATATCAGACAACATCCTGTGTGTTTATCAGCCCCAGCAGAAGAGCAGGGTGATTTTCGTTCCTCTGAGAAAGCTTGGAGATGTTTTTTGGGGCATGGCAATCATTAAATCACAGATTCAAAGATCCACGGTCCCGCCTTGGGCCACTGATTGCATTGCCCCAGTCTGGGGTCCGATTCCCCAGGCTTGAATTTGTTGCATCCTTCATGCTGCTCCTTCCCCTCCCGAAAACCTCCGCAATCCCTTTCAAGCTGCTCCTCTCCCGCTCCCCTGAGACTCACTGCATCCTGGGCACATTCTCACTGAAATATCTCGGGCTTTCTACCACTGAAGTCTCCCACATCGCTTCGCTCCCTCCCGCTCACAGTCGCCCCGAAGGTGAGCGTCCCCTTCGCTGCCGCCGGCTCCCCACGGCCGCAGCCGAGGTGCCAGATCCTGGACATATAGGGAAGAGCAGCAGCTGTAATCTGAGCTCGCAGCAATTAGCTGGGAGCGCGGCGAAGTCCCCGCCGGCCGCCGCGTCGGGCTCAGCATCTGCGTCGTCCTCAGCCGCTCGTGCTGTAACTGTGGGGTAAGTAGGGCCCGGAGAGCCCAGCGCGGTGCGTCTTTGCCCACGTCCCCATCCTCCTGGGCTCGAGGAGTGTGGTTTGTGCTCTGCTGGCAATGTGATACTGAGAGGTGTTGGAAACGTGGTCGCTTCTTGGGTGGAAATTGCAGTTTTGTCCCGGCGTGGTAAAGGAGTCGGGAAAGGAGCTTTGGGGTGACGGAGATGGGCTGTGCTTCTAAACAGGGGGTGAGGAATTGCTGGTGCTTGGCTGGAGCAGGAGTGCTTGGGTGGAGGATGCTTATGGGAAGGTGGCGGTGCCTGGGTTGTGACAGTTCATAGCCACAACTTGCTCGTGTCTCCTCTCCATTTGCTCAAGTGATTTGAGCATCCCTGATCTGCTCTTGGAGCACAGAAAGGTAGAGATTTCCCACCAGGAACCCAATGCCAAGCAGCTCAAAGTTGTTCTCCCTGCAGTGGCAGCAGCTCTACCACTGTGGCCAACAGATCCATTGTGCCCAGTGGGATGGTCATGGCACCTTCCCTTGGCACATTCCAGTGGTACCATCTTTCCCCATGGCACCTTCTTCAGTACTCTGTGTTCAGAATAAACGTTTCCTAGGTGTGGGTTCTGCCCACACTGATTTCCCTCAATCTGGAGATCGCTCCTGGAGTGAATCGCAGTGGGTGAGAGCATGGGAAAATCCACCTTGGGCTTTCTCTTAATGGGATTTGAAAGAGACTTTGATGTGAGCCTGAGCTGGACACTATGGCACAGGCAGTATCACACTGTGCAGTGGCTCTTAAGATAGTCTGTGCCCATGACAGCCTGCATGGATAGAACCAGCAGCTCCTGCATGACCTCTAGATGAGCAGAGCCCATCAGCGCTGCATCCCATCTCCTTCTGCCAGTGATAGAAAACTGATGGAAGGCAGTTGTGCTTTTGGTCCCATTGCTCCCTATTTTCCCATGGTGCTTTTTAGCAGCTGGGTGATCCTCCTGGGCCAGGGCAGGAGGGTCAGTGCTGTCCCTCTAAACCTCTTGGCATGGGCTGGATGAAAACACACCATCCTCCGATGGGAACTCATGTCACCATCGGGTCCCTGGGCAATGACACAACCGGATCATAGGACAGGCAGAGTTGGGGCTGGATGATTTCACCCATGCCATTATCTGCCCCCAGTCCCACTGGTTTGGGGCACAGCCTGGCTCACACAATGCCCTGGCAAGGAGCCGGGCACGTATCTCGATTTGGGGACAGCGGCACGCGCTGGGCACGCGGGACTGATGGCTGCCACGTGGTAAAGGGGAGTGGATGGGGCGGCTGTGGAGACACCCCAAGGTCACCTATCCAAACACACCCTCTGGCTCATAATGTCCAGGGAGGATTTTTTGGGGGAGGATGGAGACCATTGTGGCTGGGGATTTGTACATCCCACCAGGACCCCGAGCTGCCAGCACAGGTTGGATGGCTGCTATTGCATTTCATCTCCCAGTCTTGAGTACCCATAAAGGGTCTTGCTCCAAAAGACACCGGGCAGAACCATCACCGCTGTCTCAGCTCCAGGGCTCTAGGGGCAATCCCAATGTGTTCTGCCTGCTGGATCAGATCCCTGAAATGGCTGAGCCCATCCTGCGGGATCAGATCCCTGTGGGACACATCATGCAGTATGCGGAGTGCTGAGTGGGGCTGGGGGCTTGGTGGGCACGAGCAAGCTGCGAAACCTCCCCTCCCCCTGACTAAATCCCTTCCCTGGCGCAGGACAGTAGGTTATGGGACTCAAGCAGAGGTTGGATTTAAGGAGATTACAACTTCTCCCCCAGGATAATCTAGAAATTCAATTAAAACTCTCTGTCTCTCTCCTGGGCTGCAGCAGGGCCACGGGGCACCCTGCACCCTGCAGCCATGGCTGGGGAGCACTGGAGAGACCCCCCTAGGCTCAAGCCAGGTAAGGGCTGACCCTTTACCTTCCCTTTCCTAGGGAAGATTTACCAGGGGGGAATTAATCCCAGGATGGAGTAAGAGGGGTAGGGGGAGGGGCTGTGGGACCCCAGGGGTTTGTGTGTGGGTGCAGCCCTCTGGATGCATCCCTGGGGTTTCGTGTGTCCCTCAGTGCTTGTTGACCCTGCCAAAGCGTTCAGCACCCCCCCCCACCACCACTTGCCCTCATCCTCACCCCTCACCATGCCCCTCGCTATCCAGCACTGCGGATGTGAGCAGACAGACAAACAGCTGAAATATCCGGGGAGATGGGATTTCAGACCCAGCAGGGTGGCTGCAAGCTGGGGGTCACCACGGGTGATGTGGCATTTCCTGACCCCCCCCCTCTCTCCCCCCCCCGCATGCTACAACAAGGCACTCCCAGGGCCCCCCATTCTGAGTATGGGTACCGTTGTGTGCCCCGGTCCCATAATGTCCTTGTGCCTCAGTTTCCCTTGCATGTGCACCATTTAGGCTCATTGACAGCAACGTGAGGCTGTAGTGAGGTTGGTGAGAGAGGTATCATTTCCCCACCTTGTTCCTGCTGAAACCAAGCAGATATTTCTCATTAGGAATGCGCCGTTGTGGGAGATCCGCCTGTCCTCTCTGTCAGCACGGGGGATGCAGGGGGACATTTATCTTCGGGACTTTGTCAGGGCCTGGCTCGCCTCACATCAGCTCTTAATTAATTGGAAATGCGCAAAGATGGGATGGCAGCGAGGCGAATGATTCAGGCAGAAAAATTCCCTCCCCCAGACTGACACCGGGCCCTGCAGGGGAGCCCTGTGACCCCACAGTTTTACAGATTCCCAGAGTCCCACATCGGGACTCTTGCTTCACACTGACATTGCCACCCTGCTGCTGGGGCATGAAGGGCATTGCTGTGGGAGATAAGGACGTTATCTCCTGCTGCAGGGCAGGCAGCAGTGCCCGGAGTGACCTCCTTGTGCCATCCCATCCGCTCATGGGCTGTCACCTCTGCTGTGCCACGGGGACCTTCATGTCCTGGCTGCTCGTCAGGGTAAGGTGTGATGCTAAATCTCAGCAGCTCACTCAGTTGCCTGTAGCCAACTTTCCCCCGCGCGCTCGCTGTCCGTTATTGTAACATTTAGGCCCCTTTTAAGAAAAATAAATAAAATTAGCAGTGCTGTCGGCGGGTTGCTCGAGACGCTCGGGCTCTGTGGGAAGCGGCTCTGCGGTGGGAGCTGGGTGGCTGCAGGCGTCGTTGCTCCTAATGTCAGCTAATGAGCTGGCGTCAGCCATTGCAGTACAGAGCCCATGGGGAGCTGGGGGCTGCCCCTCTTGCTATTAGGGTACAGGAATCCTGTCGGGGTCTTTCCGTGTTAATTCTCTGCGGTGTGTGTTGAGGATGGGGCTCGCGGGTTCTGTTAAGGTGTGAGTTTCTTCCCAGGCTGGGATGCTCCAGCAGTCTCGATGCGGTTGCAGCACCAGCGTGGGTCTCAGTGTTCAAATTAAAAGCAAACTCAGCTTTCAGCGAACTCTGTGTTTCAAAACAAAACTGTGCTAAATAAAGTGAGAGCTGCGAGCGAGCGCGTGCTCCGGCACAGCCCCGCTGCGCTGCTCTGTGCAGCTGTGGTTTCCCCGGAGCTCTGCTGTTGTCCCCGGGGCTGGAGCTGCTCCCGGCTGTGGGTTTGTGTCCCCCCTCTCTTCCCCCCTCAATGCTTTGATCCCGCGTCGTTGTGTGGGGTTATGAGGGTTGGCATTGCCACAAGAGCTGAGCCGGTCTGGGAAAAGTTGGGTGTCGTGGCATTGCTTGCTGCCACAGGGTGTCCCATAAACGGGTGGGGAGAAACGCTATGGATGTGAGGGGGTGGGGGAGAGGAAAGGAAGGGAGGAAAAGGTGAGAAAGAAGGGGAGGGACGAAGAAAGGAATAAAAGAGAGAGGGAAAGAAAAGGAAGGAAGGAAGGAAGAAAGGAAGAAATGAGGGAGGGGGGGAGGGAAGGATGGAGGGAAGGAGGGAGGGAAGGAGTGAGGAAGGCAGGAAGGCAGGAAGGCAGGCAGGAAGGCAGGAAGGCAGGCAGGCAGGAAGGAAGGAAGGAAGGAAGGAAGGAAGGAAGGAAGGAAGGAAGGAAGGAAGGAAGGAAGGAAGGAAGGAAGGAGGAGAGTAAAAGAGAAAAGTGGAAAAAAAAAAGGAAGAGAAAAAGGGAAAAAAAAGGTGAAGGAAGAAAAAGAAAAAAATAAGAAAAAAGAAATAGAGAAGGAGGGACAGAAGAAAGAAAGATAGGAAGGAAAGGAGAGGACAGGAAGGAAGCAGGGACAAAGGATCAAAAGAGGAAGTAAGAAGGAGAGTGGAGGGGCTGAAGCGGTGCCTCCACACCACCCGGGCACATCTTCCCCCCAGCACTGCTAATCCAGCCCCAGCTAATCCTCTCACAGGTCACCGGGAGCTCATTGCATTTTGTCCACTGCTCAAATGCATCTAGAATTAATTAAAAAAAAAAGAAAGCAACAGTAAATTCATCTGGTGACAAAAGCATGTGGCATGCTGCTTGGGGTGTTCGTACGAGGCTGTGGGGCGAGCTGGGGGGTGATGGAGGGCAGGCAGCCTGGTGTGTCTCCAAATGCTCAGTTCTGTGAAAAAGGAGGAGAGAAAGCCTATGTAGATGTAGGCAGTGTGGTCAGGAGGAGGACGTGAGCTGGGGACCAGGCTGTCTGAGCCACTTGCTCAGTCCTTTTAGCTTACAGTGTCCATGGGGTGGTTAATATTAATTGTCAATAGGAATTGCTAATGATAACCGTCAGTATTAACTCTTAATGTCTGTTTTTCTCTTTTCATGTCTGAGCATTCCCAGCAGCACAGCTGTGCTGAGTTTTACCTCCAGAGCCATCGCTCTGTTTGCTGATACCCCAAAGTGTGAGCAGGGTGCTTGAAAAATCAGTTTTGGGCATAAAACTGCTCATCTGGACAGCAGCAAGAGGAAATAAGGGACTTGGTGTACAAGATGTAGGCGGGCATCAACCTTTTACCAGAACATAGGAAGTATGGGTAGTTTGTTGATTTTCCCGCTGGGCTTCTGCAGTTATCCTCAAGTTTCAGGATGGATTTGGGGAGAATTTATGTAAAAGGAAGCCCAGCAGATCGCTGCTATCCGGGCTGATGCAGCCCGAGGCAGGCAGTGCCTGGCAATGCTCCCTGCTGCTGGCAGTGATGCTGGGCTGGCCGCCCAGCCTGGCCTGTGTGTAATGGAAAGGGTATGCTTGTCCCTGCCTGTCCCCAGGGCTCTTGCTGATTGCAGGGATCGAGCGCATTGATCAGGCCAGCGGGTACAGAACAGAGAATACAGCCATGAGCTGGGCACCTCTGGGCTGGGGGAGTGGGGGTCTCAGGGGGGTACTGCTGGCAGCAAGGTGTCATCTCCCTTGACACATCCCACATCGTTAAATAATAGTGTTCGTGATGGCAGAGGCAGTTTGGGAGGATGCTTGGGATGAAGCTTCTTGCAGTTGCTTTTGCAGCATGATGTGCCTCCTGTTGCCACTCCAGAGGTGGTAAGGGATAGCAGGATATGTTTGTCTTCCCACACCATGGGACAAGTGCAAGTCCTTAATCCTGCAGCTGGGCTATCCAGATGGGATCGAACTAGTTCCTTGTCCCCTAGCACCACTTCTCCCTTCATTAGACTTGGACATTAAAGCCTATCTGTGACCATAGATGGTTCCATGTCCCAGTGGACACGTTGGGAAAATTGCTCGCCAGGACATCTGCTCAGAGTGAGTGCCTTCCCGGGGCCATCTCCAACCAGCTGCACGTTGGCTGTGTCCTCTCCCACCCCCGGGCCAGGGAATGGAGGATATATCCACATCTCTCTGTGTTTTCCCTCGACCCTAGAAGAGCTGGTGCTCAGGAGGTCGGGTGACTGCTGCTGTGATGTGCTGGGCAGCGGTCCATCTGGCATGGGCAATGTGAACTGATGGAGCCGCTTTCAAGCGTACCTTTATTAATATCTCTGAGGAAGGAGAGCAGCTTGGCCTCTCTGCGCTCCTCTCCAGCAACCTGACCCTGCTCTGACAGCAGAACTCACAAGGAATGTGGAGGGGAACAGTTTTAAGAGAATCCAGTGCAGTCCAAGTTTTCTCATTTGCTGGTGTTGTTGTGGTTCTCAGAAATGCTGTGTCTCCCTGCTGTACACAAAAAGAACAAAATTTAAGACGTCTTCCTTCCTCACATGTAATTCTGGGGAGCAGCCTTACTAGAGAAGCAAGGGAAAGGCAGTGAGGGAGGTCTCCGGCCAGCATGCAGCCACCTCTTGGTGGACCCCATTTTTGCCACGAGAGCTAATGGCCCTGTCTTTGTTTTCTCATTGCAGAGCCTCTCACGGGAAACTTGTGGTGACGTGGCTGCCAAGACGTGGAAGCCTGGGACTTCTCTTCCACCGCACCAGAATTTGGGGGGAGGGCAGGGGTGGGCCAGGGGGACACCGGGAGTCACAAGACCCTTCCCCTTCACTGTGGGTTTGGCTCAGGGATGACTGCAGGCAGGGTCAACCCTTACAGCATAGTGTCCTCCGAGGAAGACGGACTGAGGTTGACCACCATGCCAGGGATTAACGGCTTTGGCAATGGGAAAATCCACACCAGGAGGAAATGCAGGAACAGGTTTGTAAAGAAGAACGGTCAGTGCAATGTGGAGTTCACGAACATGGACGACAAGCCACAGAGGTACATTGCAGACATGTTCACCACGTGTGTTGACATCCGTTGGAGGTATATGCTCTTGCTCTTCTCCCTGGCATTTCTGGTATCCTGGTTATTGTTTGGGCTGATTTTCTGGCTAATTGCACTCATTCATGGAGATCTAGAAAACCCAGGTGGAGATGATACCTTCAAGCCTTGCGTTCTGCAGGTCAATGGCTTTGTGGCTGCTTTTCTGTTCTCCATCGAGACCCAAACGACTATTGGTTATGGCTTCCGCTGTGTGACAGAGGAGTGCCCGCTCGCGGTCTTCATGGTGGTGGTTCAGTCCATCGTGGGGTGTATAATCGACTCTTTCATGATTGGTGCAATAATGGCAAAGATGGCCAGGCCCAAAAAAAGGGCCCAGACGTTACTTTTCAGCCATAATGCAGTAGTGGCAATGAGAGATGGGAAACTCTGCCTGATGTGGAGAGTCGGGAATCTCCGGAAAAGCCACATAGTAGAAGCCCATGTACGAGCTCAATTAATTAAGCCCAGAATCACAGAAGAAGGGGAGTACATCCCACTCGACCAAATAGATATCGACGTGGGGTTTGATAAAGGCTTGGACCGTATCTTCTTGGTGTCCCCCATTACCATTCTCCATGAGATCAACGAAGACAGCCCGCTGTTCGGGATCAGCCGCCAGGACTTGGAGACGGACGACTTTGAGATTGTGGTCATCCTCGAAGGCATGGTAGAAGCCACTGCGATGACGACACAAGCTCGGAGCTCCTACCTGGCCAGCGAGATCCTGTGGGGCCACCGCTTCGAGCCTGTCTTGTTTGAGGAGAAAAACCAATACAAAGTAGACTATTCCCACTTCCACAAAACATACGAGGTCCCGTCCACGCCCCGCTGCAGCGCCAAGGACTTGGTGGAGAACAAATTCCTGCTGCCCAGCACCAACTCCTTCTGCTACGAGAACGAGCTGGCCTTCATGAGCCGCGATGAGGATGAGGAGGATGATGACAGCAGGGGTTTGGACGACCTGAGCCCAGACAACAGGCATGAGTTCGACCGGCTTCAAGCAACGATAGCGTTGGATCAGAGGTCATACCGGAGGGAGTCAGAAATATGACTCTAGGTCCTCTCGTTGACTTTTCCGAGGGTATTTTTTTTCCTCCTCTAATCTCTTCCCCTACAACCCGCTCAAATTATGCAGAACAATGCAAGTGCCATAGGAATGCTTGAGAAATTAGTCTTGTTCCTAGTTTTCAGTTTCATCGCAATAACCACTGAGCGGTCTGCAGGAGGGGACGGGGCAGGCACAGCGCTCCCCACACCCTGGGGGGACGGGGGGGTCCCGGGGCATGTGTGTCCCGTACTGGCTGTAGGGCTGGGCTCTCCCCATGGGGAAAGCGCGAGCGTCTTCTTGGAGCCGAGATCCAAATAGAGGAAATATCAGGAAACAAACCTTTATCTTTCTTTTTTTTTCCTTTTTTTTTTAAATATAACTGAGCTGCAACAAAACAAAAATCGCTCTTTCTGGCAGGCAGTATGATTCAGTTGCACAAGAACAACACTTGAAATACCATGCAACGTTAACGTACTTCTTTTTAATTTGGGGAAAGGGGAGGGGAGGGAGGCAAGAAGGTTTTTAATTTTTTCAACATAACCTTTGGGAGACTGTTTACCAAAATAATAATAACAATAATATTAGTAATAATAATAATATTAAATCTGAAAGAAATGATTTGGTATTTTTTAAAAGCGAGCAAGGGAATGAATAAGCTGCAGGGGTCTCTTGAGTGGTGACTTGCTGGGTAGATGCAGGAGCTCAAAGCCAAGGCAGCATCTGATTGAGGGGTGGATTTTTTTTCCACTGGCACTGCTTCATAGGCAGAAAACAGATGTAAGTGGCTGCAGGTCCGTGGCAGTGAAAGCAAGTAGCGTAATTACCAGCAAAGTAGCTAATAAGGAAAAGCCAGACTGCTGTAGAGAGAACCCTTGTAAACACAATAATTAGCCACATTCTGGAAATATTGATCTTCAGGGTGGAAATTGGGCCTGGGGCGTCAGCTGCTGAAGTGCTGCGTCTCCAGTGGGGAATTCATAACTTCCACCAGAACTAGGATGAAAAAATGAAAAGCACAAAAGGCAGACTGGAAAGCTCTTGAATTTCGGTATTTTCCCATTCCACCCACCAATGTGGTATTTTCTCCTTCAAAAAACCATTTGAAATGTGGAGATCGAGGTGAAATGTGTCTTGCTGGGTTGCATCTCATGTAGCCCAGAAGTAGGACGTGAGCATTGTCCGTGCCACCTCTGCCGGGCTGGGATTTGTGAATTCCCCATTCACTGGAGGGTTCTGTTTGGATTCTTTTCCAAAACCAACAGATGCCAGTCGGGAAACCCACCATGTCCCTCACATCACCCTGTCCCCATGTCCCAGCCTTGAGGTGGATTGTGCCTTAGAGATGCAAACTCACACGCGCTCATCCCACGCCCATCCCACCCATTCCCATCGCTCTGTCCCATCTGCTGCCCTTTGGGCTGGTCTTGTTTGCACGCTGGTTTGCCTTTTACTAACATAGAATCACAGGATCATTAGTGTTGGAAAAGACCATTACGATCGCCAGTTCCAAACGCCAACCCATCTACCACCATGCCACCGAACCTTGTCCCTACTATGCCATGAGGCAAACCGTGCCGTGCATGGGAAGCCTTCTCTCCCTTTGCAAGGAGGGAAGTTGGGAAGATGTAGCTTACTGCTTCCCTCATGCTGGAGCTGGATACGGCTCTCTGTGCTGCAGGAAGGGCTAGGGTCCTGCACCCGGCTTCAGCCATAAGGGCTTGGGAGAGGGGTCTGCAGCAGTGCTTCAGCTCCGTGGGCTCCTGGCACTTTCCTCTCTCCATCCCACTACAGGCAAGCCATGTCCAGGCGTGATAGCCTAGTCTAAATGCCAGCAGCACAGGTAGGATTTGTCCTCAACGCTCGTCCCTATCTCATTTTTGCAAAGAGTGTCCCAAATAGGGCTGTCCTTAAAATGGGGGACACGCTAGGACTTGCCATTCATGGCACCATCCATGACTTTCATCTTTCTGATGAAGTGACACATTGCCATCCCATCACCGGTCCCTTTGCACCAACGGGGATGGTTTTGCCCCCCGTGTTTTGCCCCACAGCATCGAGGGGGGTGGGCAGGGCAACAGGGAGGGGGCAGAGAGATTTTGTGTGCGCACTACTTATTTATTTTTTTAAAGAAATGCTTTTAAGTGGTTTTAGGTTCTTTTGAATAAATAATAACTCTATTAAAAGGTGCACATCTTGCTGCTGTAGGATTCTCAGAGGGTTAATTTCTTTATAAGTATATATATCTCACAGTAAATATTTGTACAAAAAAAAAAAGGGGGGGAAAAAAAAAGAGAAATAGAGATGTCTTTAAGTAAATTATTGCTTTTAAAGGAACTTATATGATTGTACAGTGTTACCTGAGAGAGTAGAATAATATATACAGAAGTATTTTTAAACTACTGCGTAGGGAGGTGGGGGGGTGAGCCCACAGAGGCCAATTTGGGGCTCTCCTCTGCTCATGTGAATGCGTCCCCTCCCCAAAGCCCACTGTGAGGCTCCAGCTCTGGAGAGTTGTTGCACCTGCACGGTAAAGTCCTTGTTCTGGACATGGGTGTGCTGGTACGTGGTGTACAGATGTTATTTTTGCCTGTTGTGAGTGCTCAGATCTCCTGGTTGCTTTATGACCACCACAGAGCACAGCGGAGGCTGCCTTGGTTGGTGGTTTTATTGCGTGCGTTGTGAAAGAGAATTGGGGAAAAAAGGCAACCAAAAGCCCCAACGTGGCAGGTGCTGCAAGGAGTGGCTGAAATGCTCTCAGGGTCTGGGTTCTGGTGTGGGAGCCCCCAGAAGGGCTGCTCAGAGCTGAAATGGTGGATTCCCCAATCAATCCTTGTCAAGACCACGGAGTACAGCTGGCATTACACTGATCCTTGGAGGATGGGGGAGGTGAGGAAGGCACAGCCCCAGTCACCTTCCTGCAGCATTCTATGCTGCGTGCCCATAGCCCCCAGCAGCTCTGGGTCGGAGTGAGCCTTGGGTCCTCATAACCCAACGGAGTGCACTTCTCTGTCGTTAGAGCTGGGACAATCATTGAGTGCTTCACCTCCCGCGATGCGGTGCCTGCTCAACCTTCAAACCTTTTGTAGGAAATGAATCCAGAGCCACCTTTTCTATCTTTAATAAGGCAGAACAGAAACGTTTTATTTTTAAACCCTCCTGCTCTTTTCCTTTCTTTGTGTGCTGACAACCAAAAGAACCCCCTCCCCCCCCGCCAGCCCCACTCCATTGCCCCATTTCTGTGCTTGAGTGCGTGGCCAGATTCTGCTCTGCCACCCCCCCCCCAATTCAGGGATGCTGCCACAGGGGGTGGGCGCAGGGCTGGGTCTGGACGCCCTCCAGCTGTGCACATCTGTCCCGCTGCCCCCATCCCCAGGGTGGGTACCACCTCGGAAAAGCCCCATCTTTCCTCTTTCACCCCTAAAACATGCACCTCAGGGCTCCTTCAGGCTCTGTCCCATGCAGTGTGGGGACCGAGGCTGGCCCCCAGTTTGACAACTGGGAGCACTGGTTTCCCAGGGGTAAAAGGCAGCGTCAGTTTGCTGGGGACACAGTGACGTGCAGCGGTAGCAAAGTGATGGATGCAATGAAAGTCTCTGTACCTTCTCCACCTCCAGAGTTTCTCTGTCTCATTGCACATATATTTGAGATATATGTGACAATGTATATATATATTTGTAAAATGTATTTCAAATGACAAAAAAAAAAAAAAAAGAAGGAAAAAAAACTGGCCAATTTTATGTTATTTTAAATATATTATATATATTATATATAAGAATCTCCAAAAAATATAAATAGAATAGAGAAAATAATATAAATATGTAATAAATGTATTTTGATCTATTTAAAATATCTCGCGTCATGCTGTGTATTTTAAAGACCATGGAGAACTGCCTGGCTGTAGAGTACTGGAAATGGGATTTGTAGGCTGTCTGTTGTTCTATCCTAAAGTATACGTAGATTTTATATGTGCAGCAAACATTAAGCATGCCTTGGGGCCAGTGGGACTGCACTGCCCCAGGAGCTGGTTTGGATAAAAATGGGAGGCTTGTAGGAGTTTCTCGGCAAACATCCCTCTTGCTGCATCTAGGTAGGAGAAAGAAGCCAAATTTGAGTCTCAGTTGTTGCCAAAGGGAGATGATGGCTTGGAAATGCACTGGGCTGTGGGGTTACTGGGATGGGAAGGATGCTGAGGTTGGGTGTGATTTGGGGGAATGGGAAAACAGGGCTCTGTGGTGTTAAATCAGCACAGCCAAGCCCTAAAAGTGAGCTGTTCCGTGCATCCAGCACTGGATGCTGCCCATGCAACCTGAAATCAGCTGCTGACACAGCACAGGGAGCGGATGGCAGCAGCTCAGCCGTGTGGGGAGCCTGAAGATGGAAGCCATGACCAGGCAGAAGGAGCACAGCCATCTGAGGCCGACCCACAAATCTTTCCCAAGCAACCTTGTCTGCCCTTGGGCTGCACGAGGATCTGCTTCCTAAGGGCACTGCCTCCTCCAGAGACACCAAGTGGCTGTTTAAACACCTCTAATGGGACATCCTGGCTACAGGAAGGCAGAGTGAGCGTGCGGGATGCTCTGCTGGGGTTCGTGGCAGGTGGGCAGGATGGGCAATATGAAGAAATTGTTAATCCAGATTTCTCCGGCTGGTCACACAATGTGGGACGGACAACAATTGACCACTGGCTCCCAGCCACTGCTGCTTGGCTGGACAGACCCATTCCTTCCCTCACGGAGAGATTTTTGCTCATAATGTAGAAAATTCACTGCCAGCCATTCACTGCAATCAGCACAGGTAGGGCTGGCGCTGGGCGTGAGGTGGGAGCGCTGCACGTTTAATTTATCAGGGGGAGACTGAGAGGTGACTTGATTACAGCATTTGTCATGGGGAGAAAACATGAGTCCAAGGAGGTAACTTAATCTACCGGGGAAAGGCATAATAACAGCCTCTTCCTGGAAGCTGAAGCCAGACAAATCTGTCTTAGAAACAAGGAGCGATCTTTTAATAATGATTAGCTATTAGAACAAGCCACCAATCTCTGTCTCTTAATGCCTTTAAATCTGTACCAGATGCTTTTCTGGAATCTTTTTTTTCTCACTGAGGAGCAGAGAAGGAGCGGTTGGGGAAGGTAATGAGAAACCTCCCCAGAACACGGGCTGCAGATTGGCTGCAAATTGCCCCAGGAAGGGCACAGGGAGGCCCTGCAGGGCCCTGCTGGAGATGGGAACCTTGCTCCAGCTTCTGCTCTCATGCAGCGTTGACTCTTCCTGCAGCCGACAAACTCATCGTTTTAGTTGTGGAAGCATTTAATGATTCAGGAGTTGGCAGCTCCCCTAGGGACAGTTTGCACTGCCTTGGTAATTCCTCCCTCAGTGGCTGCTGGTGGCAGAAATCCCCAGGGAGCTGAGCTGAGGCTGCTGCCACAGGGAATTATCCCAGAGCATTCAGTCCTTGCTTGGTTTCTTCTCTGGCAATCCTCTCTGTCAGAGCAGGAGCAGGCAGGGATGTCAGCCATCCTGCAGGGATCCCCAGTGGGCTGGGAAGGATGCTGTGCAGCCAGCAGGAAGGATGGGGCTGGTTCTTAGATGGCAGCCTCCACTTCTAATACTCAAGTTGTCTTTAATTGGTAAAATCCTCTCTTCTCTCACCACTGTACTGCCTTTCTGCCTCTTCCCTTTAAGTTCTGGGCACTTAGGAAGTTCTCTATGCCGTGCAGAGATTTTTGGTCTTTCCGTCTGTGCAGGCAGGAGTGTTGGTGAGGCTCTGCCAGCTCTGGGTTCACACTGGGATGGGACTGAAGTCAGTGCGCTGCGTGCAGGGAAGGACTAGGGGTGCAAGATCAGCCCCATTGCTCCTTCTCCCAGGCAGAGATCTGTTGAATGGGCTCTGTTGTCTGGCAGCAGCATTACTGCAGCTGCTTGGCTCCTTTGAGTCAGGCCAGCACCAGCCACAAACTCTCTGAACCAAATCCTTGAATTCTCTATTGCATCCTTCCCAGCAGTGCTAAGACACCACGTTTTGGAGAGCTTTGCCATGACCCCACTACTAACACATCTCCTGCACACAGCCTGGATGCATCCTCCTCCTGGCTGCCTTACAGAGCTCAGCCCCCCCAAACTCCTCTGCATTTGCTCCATCACCCACCCAAACTGCCCCTTCACCGGCGCAGGCAGCCAGGAGCAGCTTGGGTACCACAGGGCGATACCCAGGGATGCTCGCTTGTAACCATAGCAACGGAGCAGCATCTCTGCTCTCCTGCCAACAATTTGCTTTTTCATCCTGCATTAAGGTGGACCCTCTCTAACTCCTTCCTCCGGCACTGAAAGCTCTCCCAGTGAGGGGTGTGCTCTCTGTCTCCTTGCACTATGTTTCTCTCCATCCCACGCTGTTTTATCCCCCTGTATAACAGGGGGGAACAGCCCCCAGCATCCTGCAGGGAGACCAGAAGCACAGCACCCGGAGTTTCTCCTTAACACACATTTATGAGTGTCAGTGGGACAAAATAAAGCATTTCCTTACACTTGTTGTTAAAAGGTCACTGTCAAGGTTAAAATCTTAAATACTGTTTTTTTATTATTATTTCTTAAATGGCCTCTTTTAGCAATAACACACTGGCTTCTTAATACAGCCTGAATGTAATTACCACCCATTAAGTACTTTGTTCACCTTTCACATTTCTCCCCGCTCGGGGAAGGCAAACACATGAGTCAGCGTCCCTTTTTCTGTCGGTTTTAGGCAGTTTCTGTGTGACAAGCCGTCGTGAATCAGCACAACTCTGCCAAGTTCAGGTCACAACCAACTCAGCTCCTGGAGGGACTGAAGGAGAGACCCCCAGCTTAGGGGAACAAACCCCACATGAGCACATTTAGAGGCAAATCAGGCACGGTGGTGCTGCTTTAAGGGAAGAAACGTGGAAAGGCTGCAGAAGGGATGCGAAGGGAAGAGGAGCTATGTCCGGAGCCCCTTCCCCAGACATTTGATGCTTTCCTCTTCTTCCGGCTGGCACATTTATTTTGGCAATATTCATCGGTGTGTAATGAAGCCCTCCCTTCCTTTGCTGCCTGATGACCTCGTGCAATTTGCTTGGGGCTGTCCCCTTCCAGAGCAGTACTCCTGCATGCTGGGCTGCACCACCCATCAGAGGACATTAGGGACAGCATTGGGGTGCCAGAAACGGGGTGACCCCACCACCCCACTCGCTGGGGGCTGCTCCCCACCTGGTGGGCTCGCTGTCCATTTGGGTTCGTGGGTGACTCAGCCCCAGATGGCTGCTGTGAGCTCTTATATAACGGTGTG